TTGGCATGTAGATCACACAGACACAAGTGAGGCTGATCACCAACCCACGTAGTGTGGGTGGGATGTGTGTGTGTGTGAAATCTATGTGGGCACACTAATAGCAATTGAAGGTTACAGATGTTTTAAGGATAAACAGTGGAAAAATACATTTTTCTGACACTTCTAAAATGTGGTTTATAAAAATTTGATTAAGTACCGTATCCTTCAAATTTTCTGCCTTCGTTAGAAAAGGCAAAGCATTTCGTGCTTTAGTTCACCCACACCTTTCAGTCTTTTTGGTCATTCTCTGCTTGAGTTTGTTTTGGCAGTCTTGTTTCTGTTTTTATGGGGTTTTTTAGGTCTTACTATTTGGCCATTAAATGATGTCGAGTACCTGTTTGGCTGGTGTCTGATAGGCACACGTATTCCTTGTTACATGCATTTCTAAAAGAGGAACTTGCCATGATTTTTGCCTGCATGCTACTAGATTTGTCGCTGTACAAATAATATAAATTAAATATTCTTAATTATTGCATCTCATACTAGAAAAGATTCAGGACAAAGGAGAGATTGATGCAGTGTGCCTTACAATGGTCCTACTGATTTCTCTACTGGCCTTTCCTCTGCACATGGTCAATTAGAATTGAAAATCCTGTGCTGATTTCATTCGCTGGAATTTTTAAGCAGGTCAGGAAGAAAGATGTTATTGAAAGGAAAAGTCTCATCTAAATAAGAAAAGAACACGTGGCCATCTGGTCTAACTGTACCATGCTGAAAGTCATTTAGACTCTGCCGTAGTTTGAGCTTTGAAACAGTTTGCTAAAATATCAACCAGAAATCTGTTTACATTAAAACGCTCTGTCCTTTTTATCTGTAAAAATGCAATGCGTGGTTCTCTTCCTATCTGAAATGCATGAGCTCATTTGACCCCATTACCTTATTGAGACTGTCTGTGTTTCTGGTAGGTTCTCAAGTTACTTCAGCTCTGCAAAGGTATAAGTGAAACTACCAATCTTTTGAAAGTTTTGGAGGTAATCTTGAGCTCTTTATTCCCATGACTAAAACTCACACTCCTGCTTGCACTAGGAAAGGCTCAAACAAGCGGATGCAACAGGAAGCATAAGGGGAAAGGGGGAGAGAAGAGTTTAAAAAAGGAAATTAGAAGCTGAAATTGTGTCAGTAGCACCATGGAGTTTGCACAACCAACTGTAGGCCACAGGCTAAGAGACAAACTGTAATAGATATCAAATTTTTGAGGAATGGAGTCATAAATATGCATGAGCTTCCACGATTGCATTGTTTCAACATTCAAGCTTTTAAAAATTTTAAAGAAGTCAGCAAAAAATACAGAGGTCAGAATTTTTTGCATTGGGTAAATCAACTCATTGCTTAAAAAGCTAAAACACATAGCTCCAAATCCCAGGTGGCTGGACAACAACAGCAGGAGGATAATGCCATACTCACAGGAACACTGGTCACTTGTATCTTCTACCTACTTAGTCAGAGCTGCTGAACACCCAACACTCACCAAACCCAAGAGACCTCACTGGGAGAAGGGGACAGTGTTGAACTAAACATGAAGGCAAGGACCCTGTATTTACATTCTCAGGTTTAATGCTTAATTCCTATGTGATTAGTCATTACCTTTGCATTGACAAACGTTACATAAATTGCCAGTTGAAATGCCCTTCTAATACAACGTAGTGTATAAATCACTTCTGAAGTTTAGAGGGATTGATTTGCATAGGATTTCAGTCTTCAGGAAAGGATAAAAATATGATTGCTTATTGTCATTACCTTAAGAAAATGAAAGTCAGCACTTCATAATGTAGCTGCAGGCATTATTTCAAAATACATTTTTGAAGCAAAATGTTTGAAACAAGTGACACTTTTTTTTTTTTTTTTTTTTTTTTTAAGGCATAATGTGCCAGGTAAAGTAGAAAGAAAATTATCACCTTCATATACTGACCATGTGTACATGGCATGTAGCTTACAAGTACACACTTCTTTTGTATGACCATTGTGTTGAGTTTGCTTGTGTATTTCACGTCAGGGATATAAAGTGTTCCTTTAGAAAAGCATTATATCCCTTGTTTAAAAAGAAATAAAATACAGGAATACAAATTTGACCGCAGCTCTTGATTCGCTTAATTTTTCTGAAATCTCTATTCTGGAATTTTTTACCTTGCTGTGGATATTGCTGCGACTACGTGCAACCTTTTGTTTGCATGTCTCTGCTGCTATTTGGAAAGGAAGTTTTTTTTAAAGACTAAATGGGATACTTATGCTGAGTTCCTTTCCTCTTAGTGTTTACAAGCAATATTAAAGAAAAAAAACCAAGAAAAATTCCTCTCTTTTCATTGAGATACTTGTTAGAGTGACTAAAATATAGTTTAAGCCTTTTCAGGGAGTAAATTAAAAGCAGTGTACGTAGGTTGTGTGTTTAAAAATATATTTTCTTCGAAGTCTTTTTCACACAAAGTTCATATTAAAAAACAAATATTAGTCCATCATGTGTATCACACCATAATTCGTACCGGAAGACAATGAAATTCCAAAGAATTTAGAACATAGGTCCGCATGGCACGCGCTTAAAAATTAAATAGAATAAGTGCTTTGAATCTCCTTCTCCTCCGTATGTCTCTGCTAACCCCACCCATAGCCACACCAAACGTAGAGCAACTATTCTGGGGAGCACTGCATTCCCAAGACCAACTTTCTGGCAGGGTGACACTGGGCCAGCCGGCATTTCTCTGGTCTGTGGCGACAGGAAGGCCGGGGATTGCAAGGCCAGCAAACCAGTGCCCTGCCACGCTCCCCTTCTTCATTTGAAGACAACCTACTTACAAAGCATTTTGCTACTGCCTTGTTTAAAACTACCATAAAACTGTCTAGGAGCTCGTGCTAATCTCTCCAAACCCAAATGTTTTCAAATGTTTCAGTTTGATGGGCATTCGGGCGTGGGTATCTGGACAGTAGCTGTTTGCCTTTATGTAATATATCATATGAATATACAGAATCTTTACGTAGTATTCGAGAGCAGCACGGCAATTATGTAAGTGATGCATGAACTTAACATAAAATACTGCATTGACTGTAAAGCTAGAGTAGAAATCACAGTAAAATGGGAAACACTGGATGCCCCTGGTTACACTGTGTTGGAAAGTGTGTGTACATGTGCGTATGTTTTGTGCAATAATGTGTATGTATGTTTACAAAGTTTCTTATTTTGTATTTTTTGCAAATCATAACAAAGTTGAAACTGAGCCTGGCCGACATAAGGAGGAGAGGCTTGTGTTTGTCTTTAATCTCCCTGCAGCACGGTTCAGACTTCTGTCTGATCTGCACATAGCAGAGCAAGGGGCTTGCCGTGCATTGCGTGCAGGCTCCTTGATTGTGGAGGGGGAAAAAAAAAAAAAAAATCTGGCTGGAATCCAGACAGGCGAGCGCAGTGCTCTGTTGATCATTGTGTCTAGCCTTCAGGTGTCTCAGCTCACAGTGGGCGGCGGTTGGGGGAGGGGGAGATAACAGGAGGGCAGACAAAGAATAAAACGGTGTATTTAAAAAAAAAAATTAAAAAATCATATGTAAAAAATTCACGGCAAATCCTTTTTTTTTTTTTTTTTTTTAAATGCTTCTTTTAACGTTCCTGTCCCTGCAGCGGGAGCAAGCAAACATCTGTCCTGGAAGATTTATTTAAGCCATAATTAGTAGCGTCTGGAGTCTTTCAACAATTTCTCCTTATTGCACTTTAATTTTTTTTATTTTTTTTTTAAAGAAGTCTGCTCATCTTTCACTTAGAAACTGTTTTCACTTCATGCATTATTAGAGATCCAGCCCAGCCAGGACTGAGTCAGATTTCTATTGTCTTTGCTTTTTCCCTTCTGATCGTAGTTTTTCAGAATCCAACTTTTAGTAGGGAAAGGGGGGTGGGAAGGATCGTGCAGGCAGGGGGGAAAGATCTTATTAAAGATCTTATGAACATGTGGGTAAAAAAAAAAAGAGCAAAAATACAAATCGGTGCTGTTTATTATACAGTTATTCATTTGGGTTCAATTTCTTTTCCGGGGAAGAAGAAGGAAAAAAAGCACTGCTTTGTCTGTTGCTTCTGTTTGAGAACTCTCATAAATCTTGCCCAGAAAGCAACTTGAGCTGAAGGAGATCTGGCCAGTAAAGCTCTGGGAAGCAATTTCAATGTCTCCTGCTATGGATATTCTCTTCTTTCTGCCCCCCTTCATCTCCACTGCCCCCTCCACCCCGACTTTCTGACGTTATACCGTGAAGAGCCCCACACCCTTTCCCACCCCACCAGGAATCTGAGTGAATGCGAGCCACAATCTAGAGGTAAAGTTGCTTATCAAAAAGCCTCTCCTCACGCTGAGTGAGTCCAGATATTATACTGGTGTTTTTTTCAGTCCAGCCATAAGCCTTTCTAACACTCCCCCCCGTTGGCTCGCCTCTCCCCCTCCCCCCGTGGAAGGGGTGGGATGGGAACCTTGCTCGACTTCATTGTTCCAAATGTAAGAGCTATTTGCCCCAAAGTGTCTTTGCTGTCTTTCATAGCTAATTATAATAACTGTCAGATGTCTGGAAAGTCTGGGCTGCCCTTGCTGGCGGAGTTAAAGTTTGCCTTTATGTTTTCCCCTTGGGGACAGATCAGGCCTGATTAGACACAGAGTACAAATAAAAGTGAACAACATACGTGTGTAGGGCTTTTTGTCTTTGTTTTTCTTTATGAACAAAGCAGCACGCTGGCTATGTCAGGAAGCAGTGTGTCATGCAGCGTGCATGCAGGCACTGCCCTGGAGGATAACTCGCTTTTTCTTTTCTCCTTTTTTTTTTCCCCCCCCCCTTTCTTTTATTGAAGCACGCAAGAAATATTCCTGAATTTTAGTATCACTTTAAATACTTGTTCGTTTCATAAGAAAAGTAATCATTGATTTAAAGGACGTAACATTTTGACAATTTTAAGATATTTGCTTTTCTGGGTGAAAATAAAAATAAATAGACCCCGTACTCACAGTTTTGTTGTGCTGTGCAGGTCGCTGTCTCCTTCTGCAGAGACGAGGAGGGTCAGAGGGTGTCAAGGGTGCAGAATCCCAGATAAATTCAGGAGAAATGTACAAATGTGCTTCCTGAAGTCGCCTGGAAGTCAGCCACTTGTGCTCAGACATCCCATTGCTGCTCTGCACGCTATACTATCTGCAGTTCTGAATTGAACTAAATACTGCCCATGTGAAAGACAGAGGAAACACAGTCATGTGGGACACACAAATCCACTCTATTGGCTCTGAAGGCACAACTTCAGCATTCTTGCATTTCCACCATTGGTTAACAGTTCAGGCTGAAACAGTCTAGGTCCTCCTAGTGAGTCCGTTTTCCCTTTATGTGTGGAAGAATGACTGTAGGATTTTACAGTGACAGGATTAGTTAAGAAAGGGACTGAAGTCATCCCTTTGACTGAAGCTGGTGGGTGGGGATTGGAAGCTGTGCTTTTCTCAAGTCGACGTTTTTCCTTTTCTGCCTGCATTCCTAGTGTCAGGAAATGCTTGCAGTTAACTTGGGCAGCAGAGAGAAACTGAAGTGACTTTTTCAGGTTCAGGGATAGGGACCTGACTTTTAGAGTAATGCAGTGTTACAGACTGTACAATGATTTTTACAGGAATAACTAATCTGCCTTGCTAAAATGTGGTTGTTCTCTCTTTTCCAGTTTGTTTTTTTTGTTGTTGTTGTTTTGGTTTTGGTTTGTTTGTTTGTTTTAAGCTCAGGACGGACTGTATCGGGATCATTTATCTTGAATTTTGCGTCACATAAAGCACATAAATGAGACCAGCGGTTCCAAAGCCTATACTAATTCAACAACAGAAAAAAGATTTTACAGAACTCTGGACCTCTGGGGAATATTATGATATGGACATAACAATATTTTTAAAGAAGCAACAAATTCCATAAAATCTATAATTGCTGATATTTGAGAATAATTAAGCTATAAAGATTAAATAGAAGGGAAGGAGATTGACTATCCCCTATTTTGGTATTCTGTCATTTGTCTGATTTAGTTATGCCAGCGTGAGCAGTAATTTGAAACGGTACTCAGTCATGTGTGACATACTTCTCCAATTAACCCTTATTAAAAAGACCTTTCCCAAATCCCACATGCATGTTTTCCTACAGCTACAGAAAATAAAGGTATGACAGATTTGTCAGGTTTTGTGTCCATCCTTCCGTCTGGGCAGATTTATTTCCTCCTTTGTGTTTCCGGGGCTGTGTCTCGTGGAGCTCTAAATACACCTAATGTGTGGTTCCTGTTGGTGGATTGTTGAACTTGGGGCCTAATTTAGCAGTTGAAGTGCTTAAATATGCTTGGAACATTACCAGAATAATTAATCTGGAATAGTAAATTCATTGTATGTCTGTGGTGTATGCAAGACCAAGCGCAGGCTGCTCTGCTGGCAATTGTACCATGTACAAGGTCTTATTCAGCACCTTGTGCCTGGCCCTGGGTGTCAGGGCATCGTTTTGGTTTTACCACTCAAGCTTGTTCAGTCCACCTTAAAACAATGCTTCTTCCTCTTTGGAGTTCACCCTCTTAAGCTATTTATAAACTTTTATCATTACCTCACTGACCACCCTTGTCATCACTTAGCTGAACACCATATTCCAGGTGTAGCTGGATATGGAAGAAGATATGGAAACATTCCTCCATGGCCTGTGACCTGGTATGGCTGCAGCAAATCAATATGTGTTTGCTTGATATGTGAGCAGGAAAATATACATCTTAAAAATAGACTCACACACCTGACCAACAGGATTTCAGAGAAAATGGATACACTGCATGTTCTACTCTGAGTTAGGAAGAAGGCCTCGCAAAGGCCTTCTTCGCTTCTAAGTGCTGAGAACATGCAGAGTGTTTGTTTTTCTTTAGCAGGTTCGCTTAAAAAAAAAGTTTAGTAAAGTAACGGTATACAAAAGGTGGAGGTGGTGGTTGTTGTTTGGCTTTTTAATATACATAAAGAAAGATAATTGTCTGGTTTGCATAAAATAAGGCTACAGCAGTAGCATCAAAACTTTCTCTCCACCCTCCAAAAATGTTTTCAGCTCCACTGGGCTTTCCACATCTGGACTCCAGAACACTGAGGGAAGAGAACTGAAAACCCTGGGAGATATTTTCTTTTTTTTTCACAGCGCTGGTGGTCTTCATAATTTTGGTTGCCTTTTTTTTGTTGTTGTTTAATTCAATTAAAGAGGGAAGAAATACTAATAAAAAAAGACCTTACTCCAGAGAGCAGTAAACTCTTTGGTTTTAAGACCAGTGCATGGTCTTGTCTTAAATACATCTTTTTCATGAATGTCAGTTTCTGATTTTAAAACACTGCAAAACTATTTAAAGAAAGGAAATAAACATCTGAATCAATTTAGTATTGTTTAGCTCTTTCTTCAAACAACTCATGAGTGAATTTCATGAAAAGTTAGGGAATCTCGAGCAATGATTATTTAACTGCATTTCTCGAATCATGAATCAAAGAGATGACACAAGCAGACATTTTTGTGACTCCTGGTATTTCAGAGAGCAAATTAATACTTTACCTCACTGTTGTTTCCAGAGAGAGAAATGTATCTTTACATGTACTTGTGTATTTAAATGGACATTTTATTCTCTGTATCATGTCTGTTGGAAAGAAAACAAAATGAAGACTTAGGCTACATCATGTTCACTTCCCTTGAATAATAAATTGCTTCTTTCTCCATTATTGTTACTAAAGAAGAGTTCATAACTGTAAGAGACAAAGAAAAAGAGCATCTTAAAGTTACCACAATGTGGAAAATGACATTACTCTGCAAATTCTGTTATTATGGTGATGCTTTACACGTGAGATAAGATGTTGCTGTGTGAGCTGGGCTGTCAGAGTCTGGAGATCGCACTGTTACTGCTGTGTGGTCCTCTGTGAGCATCCTTTGACAGAACAGATTTCTGTTTCTGGTTTTTGGGTAAGGGTTTTTTGGGGTTGCAGCTTTTTTCTCTGATCTAGCAAAGATTGGTAGAGACACATAATTCCTGTTTAATACAAGTCCTGTTCTTAAGAATTTTTAGTGTCCCCTGGGCAGGAATTCTAGGGAAAAAAAAAATACTGAAGTTAGAAATTACAGTTACTAACGTAGCTTTTTCATTCTTTGGAAGTATTAGAGAGCATATGGTTTGTGTGAGAGCGTGGAAAAGTAGGATGGCCTTGAACATTTCGTATAGGGTGCATTCCCAAACAACTTTGTAAAAGAGCTAGTGGGTTTTTTCCTGTGTAAATATAAGCTCCATGACTACTCGGGAGAAGGAGCAGATTTGCCCCTTGGCTTCTTCTTAGTAATGTATACTACATTTAGAAAGGCAAAAATCAAAAATTCAGATAAATTTCTTTCAGAAATACTTAGAATAAAGGCACTTGTGCAGTTTGTATGTTGATGTGTTGTCTTGCACAAGTGGTTACTTCTAAAAACATTGTAACTGTTTCCTTAGAAAATGAAATTAAATTCAGCTGTGTGTATGATGCAGATTTCATGTTGCCCAGCACTTTCAATCCTTTCCCTTTTTCTTTCAATGGAAAATAATTGAATTTTATAGACTGTGTATTCGCTTACGACTTTGCCAGAGAATTCTTGCTGTTCTATACACCTTTGCTTTTTATAATTCCACAGTAGGTGGTAATTGCTAAAGTTTCAATCCTATATTAGCTGGTAAAGTCCCTTGATGTTGGTAATGTATAAGCAAAGAAGAAATCAGTCAGAAACAAAATCCCAGGAGATACTGGAGAAACAGGAAAAAGGCAGAGAAGAAGGAGAGTCATTGAAAATCATTGAGTGAGGGAAGTGGACAAAGGGCACCCAAAAGCCATTTCATGGAGAGTAATTACCAAAGCCTGTGCAGTGTGTGCACGTAGTTTGGAAATGTTTGTATACCTTAGTTAAGAACAGCCCTAAGCGAACACGAGTTGTTTTTCAAATGCATCTGGTACAAGGGGTTTGTGAATAAATGTTTGTTCTCATCTCCTGCACTGGGAGGGGGGACACCAGCTGAAATATTGTCTGAGCAAGTCATCTCTGCTGTATAGGAACCAGCTGGCCAGGTTGCAGTACCTACCATTTACATACAGGAATATCTCCAGCTAAGCTGTTAATATCATAACTGATTTTGTGGGGCTTTTGGGGGGGTTATGTTTTGTTCGTGTTTTTTTCCACCTGGGTCTTTTCTCATTCCTCTTTCTCCTCCAACTGTTTGTGTAGAAAAAGTGAATGAAACCACATGAGATAGTGGGAAGATTTTCAGCAGTCAGACAGGAAGCTGGTATCCCACTAATAGTGAAAGTCAGAAGAACTTACTCCTGTTTCCTCTGCAGGTCTGCTGTCTGTTTAGGGACAGCTCTTGATGGTAGCTTAGATAATAAGGCTGCAATTTAACCACTACAAAAAACCATCTCAGACTCAATAGGTTCTTGATCTGTGTGCTGAAATTCACGTACATGTTGAGCTATTTGTTGTTTTGTATTTATAAACCCGATTTTGGTTACAAGATTGTCGTTGAGGAGTTCAGATCTCATCAGCATCTCATTCAGGTGAACTTAAAAAATTAGGAAAAAAAAATCAAGGGTTTTCAGCTACCCCATTCTAACATTTTTACAAATTTATTCAAGTAAAAATTAAAATATAGTGTTAGCAATCGTGTTTGTAGGAGAAAATTTCTAGATGAAACAGAATGTTATGTAAACAGTGGGCTGGTAGCTGCAGTGTAGTTCAGAGGAATTTGAGTGATACAAACGTTTTAAAGCTTGTCTATATTTAGATCTCCATAGAATTATGATATCTAGAAAGATTTGATCAACAAAGGTAGAACCAACCATGCTTTTCATCTGATAAACCTTAAATTTAAAATATATAAAACCTCTTGTAACCATTAAGTACCATTAAAATGAAAGTTACTTGAATGATTTCTATATCACACCTTGTGTATTCTAGAAAGTCTGATGATTTAAATAACGCCCTTTTTTTTCCTGGGCAATTTCTTCAATTTTTTTTTTTCTTTTTTAATGCTTTTTTTAATCCCTTTTCTTTGGTCACTTATTCCCTTAAGTCCTTTCAGTATAAACAAATTATTTCCCCCAAAAACCACATGCCTGAAACTCAGGTGGCTCAGTTTTCACCCAAAAAAATGAAAGCTTTGTAGGGGCAGTCAAACGTGGTGACCATAACAGGTCTTTTTCCCTCAGACTCCTCTTACAAGGTTATGCAGCTTTTTCTGATTTCAGATGCAAATTCAGAGGATGCCCTGTTAACCCACAATAATATATAAACATGTATATTTTATAAATTATCTATCAAACTTTGATTGTGTTTCCTTATAGAAGTATACAACTGGCATTTTAA